CCAAAATTTGTGAAGCCTAACCATTAGGTCTTGTGCACCTACTGTTCTCCAGGAATGGTTTTCAGGTTGGGTGGCTCGCTTGGTTTCTTTTCAGAGAACTGTTTAGATAACTGCTATACGAATAGGATCTGTTAAGTTATGAGAAGGAGAAGGAGGAAAACGGATGTGAGTATATTGAGTTAAGGGTGTATGGTTGATTGTACATGTAATATGCTAATGTGCTACACTCATTAAACCATGTCTACTGCACGCGACAGGCTAGTCAGGCAAACGTACAGATGTGTTTGTTGTTTTCTGACGTAGAATAGAGTAGACGTGAAGTTCGAAGTCCCCCATTCGTCATATTCTCAACCTCACGATCGTAGGAGACAAGACAGGATATATATTCTCCATCAACCACTACAGGATCTATCGCTCCTGACTCATTGGATATGTTTGCAAGTGGGTGTGGGTAACACCATGGCCCCGGTTACCATAGGGTTGTTTAAAGTTAACCATTGGTTAGTGATGCATTCATTATTTTGCAATTAAACACCAAAGGCTTTCAAAGAAAAGACAAAAATTCTCAAAATCTAATCAATCTGACAAATTTATAGCAGTGAATTGATATTTTTGTATTCGAATTGTAATTCATTTAACAAGACGCAGCTTACGTCATATATCTGGGACTTGCAACCAGTGTTCCTAAGGAGACGTGCATAGTCAATTCGACTAATAGAACATGTTTATATAAGCACGTGCAAATCTACTGTCCAATACTCATCAACCAAAGGAAAATGTCAATGACCTGCCGACGTTGTAGTTTATAATTTATTGGATTTCAAAAGCACTTGATATAGCAAAGGAGTCCATCAAGTCTGGAAATGACGTATACTTTTTGAAGAATCTATAAATTTCTCTTCCGTGGACTTTCTGAATAGCTCCTTCGAAACGATTGCATTTTATGCTTTTTAACAGTAGTTAATATGGAAACGTTTCTAGAACGTTAGGTTCGGTAGCATAAAACAACCTCCATCTGATCTTTTTTGGCTGCTTACTCAAAATCTCCCGCGTTATAGTCAGCTAAACACCGGAATGTAGACTACAGTGTATCGATAATCATCAGGATGTTAAGTGTTTCACAAAGCTGCATCCGATATCTGCCCGGGCACATAAAAACCAGAGCCAATGTCATAATATGAAATTTTGTCATTTGTGTGGTGTTTTTGAATATTATTTGTGCAAACCCCTAAGTGACGCGAAGCGCCGAAGGATTTGATCTGTAAACACTTTGCCGACTTCCGGTGCTTTCCCATTCCAAACCACAAGCCAGAAATACTCGTTAGGGAATAAAGAGAACATGGAGTCCCGCGATACAAAAAGCTGTTAAAAAGAGCAAGTCTAAGACGAAGAAAACCGTTGAACCCAAATAATATATTACGCATCACCAGGAAGTCTGCAAAACGCAATCTCCAGAGAATACAACATCGAGAGAGCTGACAGAAACGACAACTGCTAGCCGAAGGGATGGTGTCCTCGCGTGTTGACCAAAAACATTCTACAAACTAATCAGCATGCACAGATCTACCTTTGCTAGGTCTACAATAGAGTTCTGGTGGAAAGACCTTAGACTGTTGAAAGCAACACTTCAGCATACTCGCAAACCCAAAGGATGACGTACACTTTGACAAGGATCACACATCCCTTGTAAACAGCAATGCTGACCTTATTACTGAAAGATGTACCAACATCGTCCAATTCAACAGGAAACATAAAAGGAGGTCCAGAGAGCGATTCGCAAACTCAGCGATAACAAGACCGCAGACTCTTGAGGGCTCACAAGCGAGCACATCATCAAACACGCAAATGGAACACTTACGCCTTTCCTAACAGATATCATCAACGCAATATTTTCCAGGAAAAACTCCCAAGCCTTTTAAAATAAGGCTTGGTTACACCACTATATATAGGGAGACCCCCACGACCCGTCTAATTATTGAGGGATTACGTTAATCTCCACGATCTTAAAGCTGCTAGAGCATATTCTAAATGAACGCCACAACAGGACTTTAGATCCAACCCAGTCAAGACTACAGACGGGATTTACCAACATCTTATCCTCGCTACCCTGGACGCCCGGAAAGCGACTGATATTGTTGACCATAACATCCTACTACAGAACCTATTCTACGATGGAATACAGGGAGACGACTGGAACATGCTTAAAGACCTGTATACAGATGCAACTTCACCTGTCATGTATCTGAACAATTCGAACTCGGGCAAGACGTCCGCCAAGGTGGAGTCCTGTCAACGACCCATTATAAAAGGTTCAACAACCAACTTCTCTTACAGCTTCAGGAAAAAACGTTTGATTAAGAACATTTGAACTCAGATTGGATACATCAGACTCCCACATACAACCTGTGCATACATGTATGACCTTGCTCTGCTCTCGTATGACCATCTAGACAAGCAAATGATGATAAAAAGATAAAAAAGACAGGGGAGTTAATTTCGTCAACTCTATGTATGGAGAAGAGACCCCGGCGTGTGATACTCTTACTCACATGGGCATCAATAGAAATACGAACAAGAGGGCCTGTATCGCTCACCTGAATATGTTTAAACTAACTGGTATGAAGTAAAGATATAGCACTCCATGGTAGGTGCTGTAAGTACATATGAAAAGCACCCACTGCTTATACAAAATTGAGTCCCCTTGGCCCAAGGATGCTCCAGACTAAATTAGGATAAACTCCCTTAATCCCTATGGTAGAAGATAGATTATAAAAGTTTTACCTCTATTTCCCCTATTGGGCCCCGCCCCTCAGGCCCCTAGCGAGCCAGACTCACGGTTTATACAAAATTGGTTCCCCTTCACCCAAGGATGCTTAATACCAAATATGGAACAAATCCTTACATTCCTACAGAAGAAGAAGGATTTTAAAGAATTTGCTATATTTCCTCTATTGGGCCCCGCCCCTCAGCCCCCAGGGGGGACAGACCCACCGTTTATGCAAAATTGAGTCCCCTTGGCCTAAGGATGCTCCAGACCAAATTTAGTCAAAATCTACTTGGCTGTTCAGGACTAGTAGCGACGGACGACGAACGCTGCGGTATGGCATAAGCTCACCATGGTCCTTAGGACCAGGTGAGCTAAAAACCGGTCCGATGTTGATAATAGAATACAAAGCGGGATAAAGATTGCTTATGCTCTTATGGGCTTTCGATTCCATGGAAAGACGGGACCAACACAGGAAATAACAACACTCCATAATACTATATGGACTTGAAATCCTTACTATCAACAAGAAGCGAGTAAACAAGAAGCCTTTCAAACGAAAATGTTTCGTCAGATACAGCTGCTACCAGACAGAACTGCGATATCCGTATCACTAGCACTACTGGGTATACCACCCCTGATGGCAGTTATCCACAGGAATAAGCTGAACCTGTTCCATCATATTATTCTCAATAAAAAACATTGTTGAATACGAAATAGCGATCAGACAACTTGCAACAAAATCTATATATGCTGGATCCTGGTTCTCCAAAATCAGATTGATTTTATCCCATTACAACCTACCATGTACATACAGGACACACCCAAGAAAGCAAAATTTGACATCAGTATATCCGATTCCGTAACGATTGAGTGGCAGGAACACTTGACCTACCCTGCAAGCTATGCACCAAGTAGCCCGAGTTTCCTCTGGCCCGAATACCAGACTTAGACATGTCGACATATATAGATGTTGTGTGTGACATCTATATGTCAAAATGTCTAAGTCTGATATTCGGGCCAGAGGAAACTCGGGCTATGCACCAAGGGACCGGAGGACACACTCCATCTCATCACATTATGTTTTGTGTTTGAGGATATATCAGGAACTGTTTTGTAAAGAAACTCATGAACATTGAAAGTATTAACAATGTGCAGACCCTAATCGACGACTCACCTAGGGTGTGACTAATGGAATCCATCCCTGATGTGAGGTATGGATTAATCAAATATTTTACCTGTAACTGAGCGAGATCGGTTTATCTCAGTCGAGGGTTAAGATTCTTTGAAAAAAATCCCTACCGAGGCGTAAGCCGAGGTTTGGATGTTATAGAATCTTACCCCGAGACTGAAATAACCCGATCTCGCTCAGTTACAGGTAATTGATTTTTTTTCTCGCACCTTTAAGTTCGAAAAGAACTATTTAATTTTGCTAAAAAACTACAAGTTTCCCACCTTGGGCCTAAAATGATAATGACCTCTTCACTTCTAAAGCTACATTTGAATTTTTCCGCGTAAAAATGTAGTCCGTCGTTGCATAGATTACAACGTATTTCACTGTGTAGATTATATTTTATCTACAACATCAAATATCTAACAACATCAAAACTATACATATAACGACAAAACAGAACATTTATAATGCAAATTGTCAATTTCAAGCAGTTAACGCGCGGATGAATACATCGCAGTGTAAATATTCCGCGAAATGTCACGTTAAGGTACAAGACAGATTAGACGAGATAGAAAAATATTTTAGCATGGGGTATGACGTGGGATATCTGTCTGAGGTGCGAGAAAATGTAATTCAAACCCAAGCGATAAAATATTGAGTAGGAGACCCGTGGCTCTACACACCCTCGTTTTAACACTACTCAGTACATCGAGCAGGTCGCCGAAGTCGACACTGGCAAAATCTTTTAAAGCAGAGCGAATCACCAGGCTGTCTTTCTAGTTTGCACATTTCAGGAAAGAGTCGACTATATTTTGGCAAGGACGACCCAAAACCGCTTTGATGAACTGTGTTGAGAGCTGCACAGGAATGTATTTGAAGTGGACCCATCCGAATAAGTATATTCGTGCGCATGCTTTCCATTCGTGCTCTGTGAAGTCGTGTCTAAGGAAAGGTACCTTCTCGTCTAGCCCAGTTGTGCATCTTTCATAAAAATCGCCCCAAAATTCGCAGAGGCAATCCATTACCACACCATCTCCTGGTCCTTATTCCTTTCTCCTGTTTCTAGCGTGCGGACAGTCGTGATGACTTGTGGAACGCTTTATCCTCTAAGAATGCGTCCATGAGGTCAGCCATACAATTTACTCTTCGAACGTGAATGATGCGCTCTTCTATGGCTGTTTCAGGTCTTGACGCAGTTGTCAAGTTATCTTGATTTTGTCGAGTGCTGAAGGGTTCTGCACTGTATTCCTCAAGCAACACATATATGTCATGCTGAAGATTAACAGTTTCGTCCATATTACTTGGTCTGTCTGTTGGACCGAGCAACACCTCTGGATCCTGGTAGAAAAGCTGAAATATGTCCACAATGTTTAGTTGGTTACTTGATGCCGCTGACAAATTAGAACTATGAGTGCTATCAGTAGTGCTCGTGTGAAACTGGAAGCTGTCTTATTGGAGAGTCCTAATTGACAACTTGGTCGGTCCCTACCGCCGATGCATATCTGGCTCTTTTCGGAGATCTGATGTTAGGAAGAGAGTCATCACTTTCACTGTCTAATGATATGTCCGTTTTTTTCTTTAGGGCTAAGTAAAACCGCAACTTCTGCAACTTCGTGCTGTCAATGAATTCACCAACCGTGATGTCGTCTTCCAGGGTGACTTGTTTATAGTCCATTATGTCACATTCAAAATCATCGGGACTTCCATATCCGAACTGGCTATTGAGAAAAAAATATTTCGCAGCCTTCAATAGATGCTTATTGCTCCTGCCAGTGTAACAACTCCAGATATATGAACTGAAACAAGGATGCATGTGTATTGTGATGCAATAACTGTCTGTGATACAATAGTAAATACATGTCAATAACTGTCTGTGATACAAATTATAGTAAATACATGTCAACAACTGTCTGTGATACAATAGTCAATACAATACATCTAATTTATCTTGCATGTTTTTTTTATGAACAGGCATTGAATTTAACAGATTTGAGATATGAAATAGTTCAGGTGAGCTATTAAGGCGCTCAGCCTGTTTAGTTTTGTTATAAGTTCATGCTAAAGGATTCTTATATATTAATCTATATTAAATATATGACACCAATAGTGTGAACAGCTCCTCTGCCCACGTTTGTAATGCTTCAGTAGTGTCAGACATGCTTCACCAGAGACAACATGTTTATGTAAGCCTTTTATAATACCTTTGTCACAGTAAATACATTTACTTAATGAAGGTGAAATGGTACTATTAAGTTATAATATATAAAGGTCCAGCAACAGAGATCTGAGCGGCCTGTAGTAATTACTGTATCTGTCTGTCTGCTGTCTGTCCACACTCTTGTTTCTGGAAATTATATTGAAATCCAAAACATTAATTCATTAGAAGTTTGATATGGTAATACACAGTGATATTAAGATTTGCAGTAGGATTTTTAAAAGCTTTTAAGGTTAATGTCAAGGTAAATGTTTCTAAAAATAGACCATGAGGGTGAGTACAGTCAGGCACATCCCAGGGCCCTTGCTGACCAGTCAGTGTTCTAGATCTAGTTATTATTGCCACTTAATGAAGTAGATATTTTAAGTCCATTTCAACAGAAATTTTCCATATGCAATACGATTTATAAAAATTACAGTTGTTCAAAATTTGAAAACATAAATACAGTGCAGCTGCTTGATTGGTTGTTACCTCATTCATTGAAAGATACAAACTAGAAACTAAGTCGAAATTTCGAGTTAGTAGATATGAGACGATGACAACGGTTTAATAAAAAACGGTGTGCATGCATTGTTGTCATATACGGAAAAAACTGACGATCCAGTTCTCCTCCTTGATGGCCAACCCATTCCTCTAGTTGAACGATCTAAAACAGTCTTAAGGTAGTGTCTCATAGCGACTTGGGCGCTGAAAGGAAAGTACTACTAAGACTTCATATAAATTGCTTACGGATCCGTAAGAGAGTCGTATCTTAAAAAAATGGATACCGTATATCACCAGGGTCTAAGAATTGCTCTATCCTATTGCTTACATAATTGCTACATAATGCAAGAGAACATTGAATTCATATCAATTTTGTAAATTAGAAGTGTTGTATGCCTTTTTAAAATATAATCTTGAGGAATAACAAGGCTATACCGAAGAAAAGGTTGGCACTTTTGTGCTGTGTAATCTAAATGTTGTCTCATAATATATAATTTCATCGGCGAGCAAACTCAACCCATCTGAAGATAGAATTGCAAACATTGTGGTATACGACGACGTCACTATTCATCTGTAAAACAAAAATAATAACCCAATGAAAAGATTTGACACACAAAACAAGTTCTGGGCGGGTAAGTGTCTTTATCGCCGACACCTGTCATGTAAATCTAGGTCCAATTCAAGTAATTTTACGTCCTCATTGCAATAACCCATGCAGTGACAACAAAACCACAAGATCACGTATGAGCATAATCAAAATATCGACGTACCAATCGGACAAGGAAATAGCATATTTCCCTTTTAGATAAGCATTGCGACCATACACATTTAACCATAGCTTTCATTTCCTCAGCACTAACTGACAGCTTTTTATGACTGAGAAATCGGCTTGGGTTCAACAATGAACAATGCGATTTAATGTCTTTAAAATAAACAAAATAGTAATATCTGAAAAATAGCGCTATCAGGGGTTGTTTAAATTTCAACAATTCCACAAAAACATACCTAAAATTTCAACCCCTGACAAGTCATATTACAAACCCCAAATAGGAACTGATGTATATAATTTAAATATAATGAACTTGGACATTAGTTATTAAAATGGAGACCAACTGAACGCTGCAAAATGACATATTACAAGTTCATTTATATGTACCTAGGTCATGTGGAGCTTAATTTCTCTTTACTTTATTTTGAGTGGCATACTGGTCTCAAATGTAGATACATGTTACCATCCGAAACCACTAAAATCACGACAAAATTCCCGAGTGGTATATGTCAGTATTTTATAAACAAGAAAAAAAATGATAAGCAACTTAAATCATTAGTTGAACTTTAGGTGAGGTGCCTTTTCATAACAGTATGTCATGTTATAAATGCTCTAGCCATTGCATAAATTTTAAAACTGATTTTTTTTTGTAATGTTTAAAGCCTGTCTTCTTTATAACAACATTAATGTTACGAAAGGACGTTTTATATAAAGTTTATGTATTCGATACGGTCTCTCCACAGATAGTAAAAATGGAATTAAGCTCCGCATGACCTACGTATATAGCGTAGACTCCAGATATGTCATTTCGCAGCATACAGGTGGGCTCAGAAGAGGTTGACATGTCATTAGTTCGGTGAACTACTTTTTAACAACGTTAACCTTGCTAACCACCATTTTATTTGCTATTGTTCAAGTTCAGTTTATTCAAAATACATATATGAATTCTGATTTGTAATTTGGGTTTTTGCATATAACGTATCAGGGTGTTTAAAGTTTGGATGACAATAATGTCTTTTAGAGGGTTTGTTGAGCATGATGGACGGACGGTCGACGACACTGTCGAGCAATCTTACAGAGTCATGTTACATAGAACTGACAAATATCAGAAGTCGTAGTAAATGTACAATGGGGTCCACTCGCCTATACTACAAAACCAGTGACAGTGACCCGATGGTTAAGTGATCCTATAAATCCTCAAGTTAATGCTAAATCAAAACACCCAACGACCACTTAAGAGAAATAAATTCTTCACCACGAAGGCGTTCTATTTCACGACACTTAACTTCCCAACTAAGATCGTGTTAAAAGGAGGTGTTGAGCAAATATAAAATATAAAACTGCTTAATCCATGTATCAATTCTGTTACAGTCATCTACCTTTGACCTTGGAGCAAACGGATAAAACAAACATTTCCCATGAGAATACGAAACAGCGGTTTGTCCCTGAATGTGTCTCTGCCGAGGTAGACATTCTTGCTGGTCGTGTCCAGGAGGCAGAAAACGAACACTCCTTCCAAATGTCTGGCTGCGAAGTCAATCCTGCCGCGGGCGTACAGGTGTCTGATGGACTTTCCGTCACATTTAGTGGCGTAATGGAAATCAAACTCCTCCTGCAGCTATGAACGGAATATTTTAAGATATATAATGAACAGTGAATTCTTAAAGCTATTTAAATAACACACCTGCAAGTGGTTGTTCTAGACATTGTTTTAATCAACGCTAGCATTTTCCAATTACGATGATTAATGCATAAGCATTGGAAATAAGACTTAATGATTTTCTGTAAATTTTCAATTTAACTTACGTTTAAGTGATTGTAGTTATCTCCAAGGCGATGAAAGCTAAGGCAACAGGACGGGAATCGGTAAATACTTTTTGATCGATAAGCATTGGGTCCACAATAAGCTACTTTGTATGCCGCCTTGCATTTTGTGTAGCAAACACGGCCCATATATGCCACACATGTTTGCTTGAAAGTTAGCTTTAACAAGAATGGCACACCTAACTCATTAACTGTTGATCGGTTGATTTTGAGTTTGTGCACTGATATCACTCACACTTCGACCTGGATAGTAAGGGATGTTATGGCAGAAATAGCTAGTTATCATTTATTATTCACGATACGCATAATGTGTCTAATGTAGTTCGCAATGTTGGAGTGAAGAACAAAAAAGCGTGGTCGTTCTAGTGAGATTTTTTTTGTCTGATGTTTAGCACATAACGTATGAAGGACGTTGAACCGCAAACAAACATATGTTACAACGTATTCAAGGACGTTAGATTGATCAGATTGCAGAAATCATTAATATAACACAGATGGATACAAAAACTAAAATATCCAAATCTTAACCATAATATGTCGCGCTCAGAAAATGGCACAAAGGTTCTATCATAACTTATGTAATCATAATATTGTCTTTTATATAAATATTATATGTGATCCTGGCTAAGCGATTCAGCTTCTTCAGTGGAACTTTGGAATAGTGACAGACACAGGTTAGTCTCACTATGCTACTGAACAAGTGTTTTCATAAATACTTGTTATAGTATGTGTAGTACATGTTTTTTTTTATATATGTAAAGACATAGATAGTTTAATGATGGTTTGTGTGCTCCACAACCTCCTCAGGAGAATAGTTCCAGTCATCACAGTGAATGTGGTAGACCATGAGGATGAGGAACACAATCTGGTCCCTGGCAACTAGGGAGATGAGGTCCAATGGCATGACGTGGACGCAACACCTGAACAAATGAACAAAGACACTCTGGACGCGAAGCAAGAACGGGAGTACGCTTGGTTTAGTTTGCCGAGCTTGGTGCGCATGCTGTCGTAACACATCTTGGGTTTATTGGGTGTAGTGTATGCTCGTGTGTTTTGGGAGGCTGCGATATGTTCGTGTTTGTCTCCTTTTAATAGCGCGGAACTGATGTCGACTTGATAGTGCTACCTCACTGAAACATACTACAGAAGACACCCAGCAGGACACCCCACCCGGTAACATTATACTGGCAACGGGCGAACCAGTCGTCCCACTCCTCAATTGCTGAGCGTTAAGCAGGGGTAGAAACTATCGTTTTTGCAGACTCTTATTTGTCTCGGCCAGGGGACAGAACCCAAAGTCTTCCTCACAGGGGCGAACGCTCAACTAAAGACCAAAAGTAAGGCATTGTCAGGGGAGACATCAGGAAGAAGAAAGTTGTTTAGAAAGAAAAGATGAGATCCCAAATTAAGTTGCCTCTTACGAACATGCAATAGCGGCAGTAGGTACAATTCTTACGCCCTACCTGCAGGGACGGTGAGGAATTGATGGAAACCTCCACACCATAGCTGTGGGGCGGGTGTTCAATAGGTCTAGAATGTTTTAATGTGTATGTTACTATATGTTTATCTATAGAATGTATCTGGAATTTTAAAAGTGTGTATAAGTAATTTGCAATAGTAAATGTATAGGTTTAATAATACTGATATTTATGTAATTACATGTATGCAAAGAATGAATTAATAACCTTTTGGAAAAGATAACTGAATACATAAATTCAAGTTGAAGATTTATAAATGAGTATATTAATAAATATCATTGTATATGTATGATAATTGTACATTTGATACAGTAAAATAGATATGTTATATAATAGCATTTGAATATATGTCATAATATGAACGTCTATTGTTGAAGGTAGCATGGAGAATGGTATAAAATCCTATCATTATTAACCTTTAACAAGAACAATAAATGAGAGAACAAAATATAAAAAAGCTAATAATTGAATCGAAAAAGATATCGTTTTTCACCCATATTTTGAACTGATATAAAAACTCATATATTACTAAGGAATTGGTTAATCTATTTGTTTCAAATTCAAATAACCATTCTTGTACTTAAAAGAAATCTAAAGGTATATAGCAGTTAAACGCATGTATCTAACTACACAATGAAATTGCGGTAACTTGGACATTGTGTTGCCAACAGTCTATATTATAGCAAAAAGCTAAATGTTGCACTCACCCCCCCCCCCCCCCCCCCCCCCCCAATAATTCCATCGGAAAAAACGACTTTGCACTTTATGCTTAATATATATATGTATATTTTATATAATCAAGACAGTCGTTGATAACGTCACTTTTCATTTCAGTAATAATTACCATAACTTTAGTATGCATATACAATACCTACACCCATCTTTGTAGCCCAAAAACAAAAGATTCAAATATCCCTACCTCCCTACCGTGACGTAACCTCTATCTCGATGACAGAGCCACGGAGTGATCTCCCTTCCTCTTCCTTTTATGGCGCCTGCTGCATGCTGACGCACGGAGCTTGCTCCAATTCAAAACATTGTTTTGTCGGTTTGGTTTGAGTGTCAACTCATATTTTTGCGCAGTTTGTGTGCCTTATACCCATCTGCCTTTATTGATATAACTAATTGTTGTTGAAAATTATTTTTGTGCCTTTTACGGCCGGTTATTTTACTCCACGTGTGCCGGTGGTGTGCCACGGTCCGCCATTATCGTGGGTTAATTTCCGACCTCTGTTTATTTCGGTGACGGTTGTTTGTTTCGGCAAACGTTATTTATTTTAACCGTTTTCTGATTTATATTACGGGTGAAATTCTTTCTACGTTGCGTACTTTGTACTATCGTATTTTATCCTTATTTTCCCGTTTTATCTGCTTGTAAATTTTTTGTTTACGTTCGCTTTGGAGGGTATGTCTCGGTCGGGACAGCGACGAGGTAGTGCTCATGGGTGTTCCCATTTCTTTGTGGAACGGGACCCTCATGATGCCTGTCCCAGGTGTCGTCCTTGCAGTGAGGTTTCGCCTTGTGAACTTTGTTCACAGTCAAAATCTCAGGGCAAGGACTTCATTGTTCCAAAGCTACCCTCAACTTACCGTAAGACAGATTCGTCTGTTTCTTCCGGTAAGCGAGGGAAGCAGAGAGGTAGGGGTCGTGCCACCAGCTCTCTGGGGTCTGGTGGTACTGTCTCTGTTCCTGTCTCGGGGGGTCTTGCTTCGGCAAGTCCCTCTCGTGAGCAGGGGGTGGCCCTTCCTGTCCAGGAACTCCCTGGAGTAGGGGAGGGGCAGCCTGACCCTGGCTTGGCACAGCCAAGGGTCGAATTGGCCGGGAACGCCCGTAAGCTTTCGCGCTTGCCTTCGGGTAGGGACTACCGGCCGCCGGTCACTGACTCTGTCAGTGATCCCGGCATTCCAGGTGGTGCTGTCGTTGGGGACAGTCTTGGTGCCGGGCCTGTTCTTTCGGGTTCAGGTCCTGGTGTGACAACAGACTTTCTTTCGGGATTGTCTGTGTCTACCGGGATTAGTGACGCGCAGCTCACTAATCCCGGCATCAATGCTGGTCAGGCATACCCTCCCGGTCAGTTACCCGGACCCGGTCCTATTAGGTCCGGTCCCGAGTTTCATTCTTCTGGGAACCTGGGGGGTTTCCCCCCAGGGGTTGGGTTTGCTGGACAGGGGGCCGGTTTCCGGCCTCCGTTTTCCCCTGGCTTAGGGTATACGGGTGCCTGCGGGCAACCATCCTTGGGCCGCCCTTACCAGCCTGCGGATGGTTTTGGGTTGCGGCAGCATCCCGGCAGTTACGGGCTTAGCCCGTACATGTCCGGGTTTCCACCTGGAGGGAGTGGCGGTCCACCTTCGCCCTTTGGGCAAGTTGGCCAGCCCCAGTCTCAGGCAGGCCAGTTTGGCCAGTTCTGGGGTCACTCCCAGCCCGCGGGACCTTTCCCCTATCCTCCGGGATATGGGTTTAACCCCATGGCATTTCCGTCATGGAATCCTTGGGGTTTGGTCTCTCCCTCGCGGAGACGTGTTAGCATAGCCCGTACATGTCCGGGTTTCCACCTGGAGGGAGTGGCGGTCCACCTTCGCCCTTTGGGCAAGTTGGCCAGCCCCAGTCTCAGGCAGGCCAGTTTGGCCAGTTCTGGGGTCACTCCCAGCCCGCGGGACCTTTCCCCTATCCTCCGGGATATGGGTTTAACCCCATGGCATTTCCGTCATGGAATCCTTGGGGTTTGGTCTCTCCCTCGCGGAGACGTGTTAGCAGTTCTGTTGACCCCCCCCAACTTTCTGCTACTTCGGGGGCCTTATCGGCCGGTCCTAAGAAGGTGTGTCGGACCTTTAGGACTTCTGCCTCTCGGGCAGGCTCGTTGGTCTCTGGGTCCAAGGGTAGGGTTTTGGCTACTAAGCCTAAACCTACAGCCACGGCCGTTAGGCGCACTGCACCTAAACGCCGGTACGGGGAGCCTTCTCTCGGGTTGGCCCCTCTGGCTGGCCCATTTCCTCCGCCCCAGGCTTCTGGTCTGGATGGTGTGGAGGCTATGGACGTTGAGGGCGCGGGTATGGCAGAGGACAATGATGTTGTTCATCTTTCACCTGGTTGTTCGGATATAGACGCTGGTCTTTCCGAGTCGTCTGACGACAGTCCTCAGGAGGGCTTGCCCTCAGAGGAGGACTTCCAGGATGAGGGAGACCCTGAGGCTGCTGAGGTTGAGGCCCAGCATGTGTTATCCGGTATGCGGGGCCTTAGGGCTGACGTTTCCCGGATTCTTGGGGAGGAGGTTTGCCCACCACCTTCGGCATCATCTGTCCCCGAGTCCACCACCCTTTTGGGTTCTTTGGTGGCTCCTCGGGTGTCCGCTCGGTCGGACCGCTCTCTGCCAGAAGGCACCATTGTGTCTTCAGCTCTGGCCACCGCCCAGTCTCGGGTTTTAGGGAAGAATTCTTCTTCAACCCGTAGTCCTGGGTATGCTGGGTTGCAGCTCAGTGTTGGCGATTTGTCAGAGGTGCACGCCACTGACTATGCCACACATGATGGTCTGCTTGCCCCTCAACCAGCTAAGCTGGAATCGAGGGAACTTGCAGCTTGGCCCGGTAAATCGGTGGACCAGGTGGTGTTCGGTCCCAAAGAACACCACAAGATGGAGAGACTGCTGCGTCTCTCCATCCAGATTCTGTCGTATATAGACTACTTGACGGTTTGTCTATATAGGGTATCCGACTTGCCTGAGGGTCGGATAACCGAGACAGAGCAGGCCGACATCCAGGACAGAGTGACCTCTGCCCTGAACGGGGCATTGAGAGCGCTGGCAGCTTTACAGGTGTCATCCCTCGTCAATGTCTTGTTGGCTAGGCGGTTTTCAGTTTTGAAAAATCGCCCGGTCGATGAGCCTTACCGTTCCAGACTGTTGACTGCCCCCTTCTCAGGGTCCACTCTTTTTGGAGGGGCCCTTCCTTCTGTTCAGAAGGATTTGAAGGAGGACTCGGTCGCCTCTGCACTTCTGGTGAAGAGGATTCAGGCTGAGAAGGCCAGTACCTCGCAGGGGTCAGCGCCTCCTAAGAAGAAGGCTAAACCTTCGGCTTCGCAGTCCTCTGCGCAGCCCAAGTATAAGCCTCCCTTCAAGGGCAACAAATGGAAGGGTAAGAAGGGTAAGAACCCTCCTGGGGGTAAGAAGAAGGGTTCCTGACTCTTTTCTTCCCTCCTTGGTCGTGTCAGACGACGAGTTTGGCCGGGAGGAATGCAGTCCTCTCGGCTCAAGCTTAGGTCCTTCTCCCGCAGGATTAGGCTTCGGGTCAGCAGACGATTCTCTTGCCTGGCAAGGTCTCGATCTGCCTCGACCAGATCTTCCTGTGGGGGGTCGTCTTTCTGCTTTCCTTCCAGAGTGGAAGGAAATTACGGAAGACGCATGGACCTTGTCTGTGATCAAGGAGGGGTTAGGCATTCCGCTAGTGCGGGATCCGCCCTTAGCGTCAGAGCCAATCTTTTTTCCTCCACCGGGGGATCCGGAAAAGGCTCTGGCGCTCCAGGAGGAAGTAAGGACCATGCTTTCCAAGGGCGCGGTCGAGGAGGTTCCTATGTCGGGATGCACTCCCGGGTTCTACTCCAGAATGTTTCTGGTTCGGAAGAAGTCCGGGGCGTGGCGTCCCATCATAGATCTAAGTGCCTTCAACAAGCACGTAGATTCTCCTCACTTCAAGATGGAGACTCCTCGGGGTATTATCGCCTCCGTGAGAGAGGGAATGTGGGCGACTTCAGTAGATCTAAAGGACGCCTACTTCCACATCCCCATCAAGAAGTCGGCACGGAAGTACCTCCGTTTTACTTGCAACGGAAAGGTCTTCCAGTTCCGGGCCATGCCGTTCGGGCTCACGACTGCACCTTTGGTTTTCACCAAGCTGCTGCAGGTGGTCGTGGGATTCCTGCACTCTCGAGGAATAGATGTTCACATCTATTTCGACGACTCCCTCATGCTCCACCTAGTGAGAGAGTCTCTGGTACAGGTCACCCGGTTGGTTCTGAAACTCTTACTCAAGGTCGGCTTCATTCCTTCCAGAGAAAAGTCGGAGGTTTCCCCATCTCAGGATTTTGTTTTTCTGGGGAACCGTTTCAATACGGTTCAGGGCATCGCCCTTCCACCGATGGAGAAGTTCGAGAAGGCCAGGGCTTTTGCTCTGACCTTTATCGGCCGGTCTCAAGTCCAGGTACGTTGGTTTCTCAGTTTTCTGGGATATCTCAACGCCCTGGCCGATGTGGTCCCCTTAGGGAGACTTCACATCAGGCCTCTCCAGATGTTTCTCCTTGCCAACTGGGTCCCTTCTTCAAGGGATTGGGAAGCCTTGCTTCCTCTGAACCAGTCGGTCAAGGAGTACGCACGCTGGTGGACTCATCAGGACAATGTTCTCCGAGGGGTTCCTTTGTCCAAGCCAGTTCCCACTATGACCCTGTACACGGATGCATCCATGACAGGGTGGGGAGCTTATCTCGACGGGCGTTGCCAGTCGGGGGAGTGGTCTGGGGAACAGCTCTCGGAGCACAGCAATGTGCTCGAGATGAGGGCTGTTCTGTTGGCTCTGCAGTCTTTTCGGGAGATCCTGCATTCCAAGGTGGTTTGTGTGGCTACGGACAACACTACGGTTGTCGCGTATCTGGAGAGACAGGGGGGAACCAGGTCTCACACCCTGTGTGCCCTCGCTATCCGCATTCTGCTTCTATGTCAGGAAATGCAGTTGACAATTTGTGTCAAGCATCTACCAGGCAGGTTGAATGTTCTGGCGGATACTCTTTCCAGGCGCCGCCAGCCGGTTTTGACAGAGTGGCAACTGAATCCCTCGATTTTCGTGGGAATTTGTCAGGTGTGGGACAGGCCTCACATAGACCTGTTCGCCACTTCACTGAACAATCAGTTGCCAACGTTTGTCTCTCCGGTACCAGATCCAAGGGCTTGGGCCGTGGACGCTCTGTCTCTGGATTGGGAGGGAATGCATGCATATGCATTCCCACCCTTCAACATGGTGGGCAGGGTGCTGCAGAAGTTTCGGGAGCATCAGTGTTCCCTCCTCCTGATAGCGCCCCTGTGGCCGAGGCAGCCTTGGTTTCCGGAGCTTTTGTCGCTTCTGGTGGAAGAGCCCCTGGCTCTTCCTCTCAGAGCGAACCTCCTTCGCCAGCCTCGTTCCAGGACGATGCACTCTCGTCCGGAGATCCTCCACCTTCACGCGTGGAAGCTATCTCAGGAGGCCTCGCTCAGGCGGGCTTTTCTAGGGACGTGTCAGATCGCATCGCTCGATCAATTAGGGCTTCCTCATCTGCCGTCTACCAGTCACGATGGAAGATTTACTGTGATTGGTGTGTCGGCAGGAAGGTTGATCCGATCAAGGCTACTGTCCAGGTGATTGCGGACTTCCTTCTTTGGCTGTTTAGGGACCGCAATCTTGCCCCTGGCACTATCGCTGGTTATCGCACGGCCATTGCTAGTGTTCTCTCTGTTCATGGTAGGTCGGAGGTAGGCTCGTCCTCCTCTCTTTCTGCCTTGATTAGGGGGTTTGGGTTGGACAGGCCTAGGGTCCGGCAGTTGGCTCCGCAGTGGAATTTGCCACTGGTGCTCGAATCGCTGATGCGGGCACCTTATGAGCCTTTAGCGTCTGCCTCCTTGAAGTTTGTTACTTACAAGGTGGTATTCCTTGTTGCCCTGGCCTCAGGTCGAAGGAGGAGTGAGATTCATGCCTTGTCTTCTCACCCCTCTTGCCTCCGATGGTCCAGGAATTACTCTGCCGTTACCCTTCTCACTGATCCTGCCTTTATGGCTAAGAATCAGGTTCCTGGCTTCTCGCCCGATCCGATTAAGATTCCGTCTTTGACTGCCTTCGTTGGAGCTGAGGAACGGGATAGGTTGCTCTGTCCCTGTCGGGCGCTTAGGTTTTACCTCGATAAAACCAGGGGGGGGCGAGGTCCTCGATCTCGTCTGTTTTTGCCCATTAAGCAGGGTCAACAGGATATCTCTTCTCAGTCAGTGTCTAGATGGATCTGTCAGGTCATCAAGTACGGTTACGACCACTCGGATGATCAGGTTCGGGCGTTGTATAAGGTGAGGGCGCATGAGATCAGGGCCCTTGCTGCGTCATGGGCCCTCCTCAATGGGTCCCCCTTTCAGGAGGTCATGTCCGCAGCTTTCTGGCGCGGACAGACTACCTTCACGGATTTTTATCTCCGGTCCTTGGCCTCTCATTCTGATGGATTGTATTCCCTTGGACCGGTGGTGGTTGCACAGTCTGTGGCTGTTCCTCCACAGTAATTCAGTGATTTTAAATAGTATGCTATCAGGCACCACGGTGGTACACCTGCTCGTTTCACGGGGAGGTTTTCCATTTTTTAATTACTTTCGGGGCTTTATTAGGGGGGTTCCTTGAACCTTTTCCCTACCTTGAGCATGTCTCGAGTTTGTTCCGTCAGCCTGGTCTGCCTGGATTCGAAGCCTCCACTACGGTAAGACGAATTCGCATACTAAAGTTATGGTAATTATTACTGAAATGAAATTGAGGTTTTTGAAGTAAAACCAATTTTCATGATGTAATACTTACCATAACTTTATGGAGTCCCACCCTGTATTCCTCCCCTTGCCTCCTCATCCTGGCTGCCTTTAGGCTCCATAAAAGGGGGTTTGAGGAAGGGAGATCACTCCGTGGCTCTGTCATCGAGATAGAGGTTACGTCACGGTAGGGAGGTAGGGATATTTGAATCTTTTGTTTTTGGGCTACAAAGATGGGTGTAGGTATTGTATATGCATACTAAAGTTATGGTAAGTATTACATCATGAAAATTGGTTTTACTTCAAAAACCTCAAGTTTGTAGTGTTTGAGTGTCCTGGCGGAGGGATCTGAAGATGTTGACCACTTGGGCATCCAGTAGTACGGTAATAAATGACCCTGTCCTGTATAGAACTTCTCAAATACTCGTCTGTAGTATAGAGCTTCCTTACTGCGTGGAGGGTTGTGTGGAAAACGGTGACTACTCTCCTCCAATTCTGTGTCGTCTATCTGCCAAATGTGAGGAAAATATCTTTTGTTTATCAATAGGATGTAATGAATTGTTACAGCCAAATCATTGCAGTATGGATGTTTCTTTATAACTTAAAAGAATGGATGTTGTTTCACCTAGGTATTTGCGTCTACACGCTCATCATTGTTCCTTATAGATTGTAACGCTGTCTTGTCAGGGTTTGTCGTAAGAACATTTTTACTGATTGCGAACAGGGGAACAAGATCGAAAGGTCACCGCAGAGTCGCAGGTGGACTCGCGATATTATCCATGTACGAGCGATAAGAACATTGTTCGAGCCACAAAGCCTGAAAACATTGTGTGATAAACTGTTTATCATCTATGTTCTACCTCATATATTTCTCCATTGATAAAGGTTAGCAAAACATGGGATTTTACAAATGATTCTCGGTCTGTGACAAACGTAAACAAATAGAAGGTTTGCGCGGAAGAATACCATAATCCTTGAAAACTATGTAGAAAAACATCTTTTAAAATAAGTTTGTCCTCATTGACTTCTCTATATGCACATTGACGCTTAAAATGGTGTAGCTGTCATCACAATATTGTTTTGTAACTTTATATTGATTTGTTTATGACAGAGTATGTTCTCACGCGAATCATTTTCAGGTGAATATTATTTCCGGTTCAGGACGTCACCAGTCGCGAGAAGGTGTTCTTTTTTAATTCATTACGCTACGCATCATTAATCTGAAAGCAAAAATGGACTAATTCTATGAAGGAGAAATTATTCGCGGCCCTCATTTGAGAATAAGACAATGTTTGCGACAAATAACCTTACACATTGATCAAGGTGAATAGTCAAGATTCAATTAAAACATTAAATAAAAAATGATTGATCTGAATTTATGTCGCTCATCAAGAAACATTTCAAGTGATGTATTCATTATTTAACATGAAATTCAGTGTTTCGAAATATAACAAGCTTGAGTGATCCGTCTTCTATTGATATATACTGATTCAATAAAACGCTTACTTGCTCATCAACAAAGTCTTGTATAACCTCGTACCACGACCTTGTCTGAGAGGACACGCCGTCACTAAAGTCCTCCTTTGGCCGCCATAGAATCTCTGCCGGAAGTAACCCCGTTTTGTCAAAAGCAGACCGCAGCAGATATTTCTCTATGCCGTACTTGGGCGCCTTCATTTCAGGTTCTAATGAGATGTAGTAACTGCTGAATTGATGATCAAGAAAGGGAACTCGTATCTCAAGTCTGTAATATAAATTTTGTATTTTATTGACAGACTTTTTAAATAAATATATTCATACTCCTCATGTAGCATCGAATCTTAGGAATGGATCTAGAGCTGAAAATCACGTCCAGAACGCATTTAATTGCGAAAGAGGTATTGACTTATTTATATTCAAAACAGTAATAAGTAATAATGGTATCTTGTGTAAATTAACCTTGACTCCAAATTTTATAAAAGAAGTNTCCCCCCCCCCCCCCCCCCCCCCATTTATTTTCATCCAATTCTCATCTTATCTTGATAGTTATTTATTGTTTATTTGTGAATTTAATTCCTTACCCCCAAGCCGACGTGGACCTGTCACTTCTGAGTACGTCATACATATATAGGTCTTTACAGAGTCGGCTGCTCTCCTCATTCCCGTCCTCGACAGAGGGCGCCTTGTGGAAGTATATGTAGCCTTGTGCGATCTCGTCTGATCCCTCTCCAGATAAAATGACTGTTGTATCCGTCTTCTGCTTGATGTATTTACTTAGTAGATACAACCCTGTGTACAACAATACACAACATTTGTCGACGATATTTATTGATTATTTAAATCGCTCGTAGATATATGCTTGACTCCACCTGCGTTGGCCTCTTGATTTCATCAAATGAGAAAATTGTATTCACGACAAACCCTCAAAATACCTTGTGATAAAATGATAATCATCTATATACTAGTCTACTACCTTATATATTTCTCCTTTTAGAAAAGTCAACTTAACAACGTGTTTTTTCAAATTACTTCTTAGCTTAATGGTCAATGATCGCGAATCCTCGGTCTGTGACAAATGTCAATAAATAGAAGATTTGCGCGGAGAAATATAATGAACCTTAAAACTATGTCGAAAATATGTTTAAAACAACCATTTTCGCCATTGACTTTTCTATATGTACATTTAAGCTTGAAACGGTATAATTATCCTCACAATATAAGTTAATAACTTTATATTGATTTATTTTCTTTCGCGAATCACTTTTGTGTGGATATCACTTCAGGTTTAGGACGTCCCTGGCGCGAGCAGACGTTCTTTTGTTATACTAACAACTAATGATTATGGATTTATTTTGCTACCGGTAGGTGGTATTAAGTAGTATATAGATGAAAGTTCTTTTTTTATAAACTTTTACGAATATGTACTAGCATTATGGCTAATCACCGTATAACTTTAAGATTCCTACAATTAACCGTCACAAAAAGAAGTTATTTGATGAAATGAAATAGAACCCCGTTTATATAGCCACCACAACAGCGGCTGCACAACTGCTTATCCTGTTTGTGAAATAAAATAATGTCTCTTGTAGTCATTCTATTGACCAACAAACGAACTGTTTCCATTTAGAACACAGATACTGAAGTATCGCGGATTCACCGGCACTGTGCGTGTGCTACGTTCATTATTCTTGGAGGAACCGCATAAAGAAATACCCACCTACAGATGACCTAACGGTGGTGATGTCATAACTCTCCAGGTGGTATATGACACTTTCAATGGCGGCGATCCCTTCCTCAGGTTTAAAAACTATCTCGTGGTGCTCTGTTTTCAGGTGTTTAGCAACCTTATGTGAAAGAAAATAAAATAAATAAGAGCACAGATATAAGAACAAAAATCCTGCTTTTTACAATGACCAGTTGCGGTTACAGTATCGTAATTTCTTGCGTACTGCCGGCTCCGTTATATTGTTCGCACTACCTTAAATTATTATGTTTTGTAAACAAATTCTGAAGATTTGCTGGGTTACTTAAAAAAAATATTATAAGAAATAAATACCAGGTACACTTCCAAAGTCAGTTAAATGTAGTTCTCATGTACTTATATGGATATGCAACAATGTTAGTAATGATGTTTTTTTTAATTACATATCTTGTAGATTGTTTTTGATACACAAATAGCACCATTCATTATGCTGATGTCAACAGCAATGGCGACTCCTCGCCCTTCACTAAGTACTCCACAAAGGCGATGTTATACAGTTTCGTTAATATGAATTTCATAAAAAAAGTTTTGTTTTTTAATGATTGAAGGTGTTTACGAAGTTTATCGCATTTCCCGCACACTAATAGTTTTCTTGAAAAATAAAGTCAAACTGCCCTGCTAATCACAAGGCCCGCAAAGGACTTTTAAGAATAATGTATATCCTGCAGAAAATACACGGGAAGTAACGGTATGTAATTCATTATCAACTCAAAGCACTTTAATATGCATATAAACATAATTTTGGTAATAATGTTTACCAACATAAAACAAGAGATCCCAGCGGGATCTTGGCGCCCACCATTGTACCATCTTCATTAGTTCTTTGTCAGTTAGATCTTTTCTCTTCTTTCCTCTCATTTGTTTGATCGAGTCATGTTAACAGTAAATGCACATTGAGGTAACTTTTGATCTAAACTTAATACTGATGTGTATGAAAGCCAACCTTCAAAATGAGTTTGTCATTTCAGTACAGTACTTCATGTGAAAGAAATAGAATCGATCATTGCAATATGAGAGATCTGTTTAGTTCTTCCTTTAGCCATTTTGTTTTTATGATCAGTCTCAAAATATAACATGCACAACGGGATCAAGGGGAACCTACATATCAAATTTGAGAAAGATCCCTGAAGTTATTCCTGACAAATAGTACTAACAAACCTTCAATGTCAAAAATCGAAGATGACTGTCGGTAGGCCATTTTGTTTAACTGATCACTTCCAAAAGTAAACATGAACAATAAAGGATAGTGGGGAACCTGCATTGGCTGGCTCAAAATATTATTTTGGGGCGAGTAAATAAAATGAAGCACTGGCCCAAATAATTTTGGGAAGAAATATTTCCACAGCATTTAACACAATGCTTCAGCACATTTAAATTACATATCACATGACAATGTTTGTAATATGTAAAACAGAATAAAACATTATATTTGTAATTGTTCAACTGCCCTGCAGGTAGGGTGTAAGAATTGTACCTGCTGCCCCCAATTGCATGATCGTAAGAGGCGACTAAATTTGGGACCTTATCTCTTCTCTCCTTTCTAAATAACTTTCTTTTTCCTAATGTCTCTCTTGACAATGCCTCACTTTTGGCCATTTGTTGAGCGTTCGCCCCTGTGAGGAAGGCTTTGGGTTCTGTCCCCTGGCCGAGACATACCAAAGTCTTTAAAAATGGCAGTTTCTACTCCTGCTTAACGCTCAGCAAATAAGGAGTGGGACGACTGGTTCGCCCGTTGTCAGTATAATGTGACCGGGTGGGGCGTCCTGCTGGGTGTCTTCGGCAGTATGTTTCAGTGAGGTAGCACTATTAAGTCGGCATCAGTTCCGCGCTATTACAAGAAGACAAACACGAACATATCGCAGCCTCCCAAAATACACACACATAAACTACACGCATGCATCTTGCACACAGGGGAGGCCGTCCTTAAATGACCTTAGCTGTTACAAATGTAATAGGACGTTAAACAAAATCAAACAAACAAACAAACAGATTGTAATTGTTCAACCCTAGTTAAAACCTGACATGTTTCCCAAAGAAATACACAAAACTTGCACCTCAAAGAAGACACCCTGGCTTTATTTGATATAGAAAACCTGAAAAAAACTCATCACATTTTCTAAATCACGGACAGTTCGATTCAAATCGAAGTAATGACAACTGAAAAATTTACTGCCCCCCAGTTAATGTGGAAGGAACTAAAATTTCTTTCATTTCTAATTTTTTCAACAGTCACCCAAACTATTTTTGTTGGGCCAGTGACTACCTCACTTTTGACAGCTTTTGGTCGTCCGAGCAAGACTTAAATCGCCATTGGCGAGCGGGAGACCGTCCATTTCAGGAACTGCTGCACAACAAGGGAACAAGGGGAACCTACATATAAAATTTGAGAAAGATCCCTCCCGTACTTCCCGAGAAATAGCGATAACAAACTTGGCCTGCACAGCTAAGGACCAAGGGGAACCTACATGTAAAATTTAAGAAGGATCCCTCCAGTACTTCCGGGGGAATAGCGGTAACAAACCTTCACTATCAAAATCCAAGATGGCTGCCTGTCGGCCATATTGTTTTTCCGATCAGTCTCAAAAGTTGCCCTGCACAGGACCAAGGGAAACCTACATATAATAATTGAGAAAGATCCCTCTGGTACTTCTTGAGAAATACCGATAACAAGAATTGTTTAAGGATGGACGACGGACGGCGGACGCAGGGTGATTTGAATAGCCCTGGTGGGCTAAAAACTGGTGAATCACATCTGATCAGCTATGCCTGGATTAAGATTTCGAGACACATGGATATAGTTTACAACTGGCCGGATATTTATTTATTTGTTTTATTTGCTTTGACATGGAAAAAAGATACAGAAACCATGTACATTTTTGACCATTCTGACAGGCGATTTGGTAGAACTATTAAATGTGGTCTATAGTTTTGTGAAAAGGAAGCTTATGAAATTACGTGTAACCTCCCGCCGCACGATGGGCACGAGTTGTTTACATGAGGTTAATTCATAAATGTACATTTATATTTCATACTTAATCAAAAATGGCATTGTAGAATCGATTTTTTTCTGAAGAACTTGTCATACCACGAAAATCAGGCCACACAAATGTGTGAAATTATTCAAAGATTACTATATAGAAACAAATTTTTAGTATGTGAATATTTTCTCCAAAACGCTATAATAAGCCCAAGAAAATTCCTTTTAGATAAAATAAAATTACGAATATGCTTGGAGACTCCACAAATAATTTTGGCATGATGCTGTATCTGATATCTTTGCCGTCTCTCTCATTTACTGTTCTCTTTTTTGATGTTATCTTTTGCGGTTGGCCTGAAAGTGACAGTTACATCCATGACGGGATATCCCGGATTTTTTTAAATACTGCAAATCACATATAATTAGTGAGATCTAAATGTTCTCGTTATGTTATAAAGAGGGTTTATCGTGATTCAAAATATATCGCGAATATTTAATAAGACAGATCTGATCTATTAACAAAGTAGTACTACTGCTACGTATCGCAAATCAAAACTTCACAGTTCTCAGAAAGCAAGTTTTCACGAATATTACAGTGATCTACCGTATAATTATGGTCTTGTACCTTTCTGGCCGCCACCAGATCGGTACTGTCCTTCATCCCGATAGAAAACGTCTGTACAGGGTATGGTAGGTTCTGTTCTTTAGCTAATGTTACCAACGTGGCCGCAGTCAAACTCGAGTCAAGACCACCTGTAACGTGAAACATAGTTTTTTGAAAATAGGAGTTCAGACTACTAGTCGGGTTAACGATCATTTTGAGCTGGATTTTATCTCCATGTTAATACTATCACAGAAATGTTTTTCTGTTTGTGATCAAAGTTGTCTCTCTCTTTTTTTGTCATTTAATCCTAATATATACTATATACTTAACCATACCCTTCGGTAAATTATTTGCTTTTGCTATTTTATTTTTCACACCATGCCTGTTACATGTTTTTTTTAATAACGTCTCTATTATTTTGAGTCTGCGTGAATGTATATTTTAAAATGGTTTAAACATCATAAAACACAAATAATTGAACTCAAACAACATATACTGCTATCTTATGAACTGTCAATGTATCGGGGAATGATGAAACTTGAATAATGGAAATTAAATATCAGTCGATCATTGGAATAAACATACAAATGTATCTACTGCTTTTCCAAACAGCAGTTGTACTAAATGTAACAAATCATTGCTTTCAACGTTTGATCATTTTGATAGCCACTAAAATAGTTACTATATAAAAGAGGAAAACAGAGAAATCGATTGCCAATTTATTATTTTAACTTTAATAGCCCGTAAATATTGACAAACAATGACAAATAATTAGGAATTAATTGATACAAATCATTCATTGTATACGAAACTAACCTGACAGCAGACATCCGATACGACGATCTGCCATCATTCTCTTCTTTACAGCAGCCTCAAAAAGGGTCCTGATGCTGGCTTTAATATCTTTGTCTGTGATTAAATAAATAGACGTTGACGTGTTGTATACTTAAAACAGATGCATGAGTACGAAATGATTTTTCGATATTGCATTTCTTACTATGATACTTAACATTTATAACATTCACGAGATGAGATCGGCTATCATCATTTTGTAGTTTTCGTTTTCTTTGTATTTTAAATGAAAACATAGAAACTAGTATAATCTAATCAAATTTCAAAAGTCTATGATCAATCATATCAATAATACTGAACCATATACAATAAATTATACAAAATACAAGAGAGATTTTCTTCCGACATTGTGAGCTAAGTAATAGGTTAATGACATGTAATTAGTCCTACCTGTAGGGTTTACCACTGTTTTGTATGCCGGGGCGTCCCCTATTTTATGGAACCTTGTCCGCTCAACAAATGTAGCTCGTCCTATGGAGTCGAGATCATACGTCTCTACGTGTCCGGGTAGGAATTGTTCCACGGTTGCAGTTGGGTTGTCTCCCAACCCTAGAGTTACAATGATTTTGAGAGATTCTTTTCACTATTCAATACAAAATAACAAACATAAATCATCATAATATATATCAGTTGCATTTATAACCAATTCGTGCCATCAACAATGCAAAAATAGCTTAACATGGTCTACGTTATACTTCTACCTTTCAATTTCTTTTCAAGCAGGGTTCAATGAATATAAGATAAGATTGTCTGTTTCATTTGTGCTTGGTATTGCCAGCTTCAAATTGCCCCTACGTATTAATTTGTAATGACCGTATGATATATTTATTTTATTATTTTGGATAGTTTAAATATTGTTTTCATAATAACTTGTTTACTAGTATTACTGACAATGTACACTCAAATGACTTTAAATCAACAGTAACATCATGCTTGTGACAAACCATTTACAGATGAAGATTCCATGAACGAGTGCGCGATTATAAATAAATACTCGAATAATTTTGTAAGGTAACAATGTATTAATATGTTATTTGATTTAATATGATCGTAAGAGTATGTGCTGTTTATCCCCAAATGGCTGCCGAGGTCAAAGGGCCGTAGAAAATGCATAATCCGCCGTGTATGGAAGGTTTGGTTTTATTTTGTTTAACGTTCTATCAACAACTGAGGTCATTTTAGGATGTGTCTCATATGTGTTGTGCGTGCGTGCTTGCATGTGTGTGCGCAGGAGTGGGAGTATGTTGATGTATTTGCCTCCTTGTAATAGCGCTGATCTGATGCCGACTTTATAGTTCTATCGCACTGAAATACCATGCCGAAGGCACAGAGCACAGCATTTTGCCAGGTCACATTATACTGACGATGGGTGAACCAGTTGTTTCCATTACCCTAAAAGCAGGCAACAGCAACTACTATGTTTAAGGACTTTCGTATGTCCCGGCCTGGGGACAGAACCCATTGCCTTCCTCACCTGGGCGAACGCTCAACATTAAAGCCAGCCAAAAGTGAGGTGTGTGGCGCCCCTTGGTCTGAAAGGCGGGCCTCAAAAAGGGAAATAGAGGTAATACCTTTAAAATCCTCTCCTAACATAGGGATTAAGGGATTTCATCCCGATTTGGTAAGGAGCATCCTTAGGCCAAAGAGACTGAATTTTGTATTAATGATGGGTAATGCCCCCCTTGGGGCAGAAGAGTGGAGCCCAATAAAGGAACTAGATTTTTTTAAAATCCTTCTCTTACCGTAGGGTTAAGGGATTTTATCAAAATTTTGCCCGGATCATCCTTTGGTCAAGGGGACTGAATTTTGTATAAACAGAGGGTGTGCCCTCTCTTGGTGCAGAGTTGCAGGGCCGCATAGGGGAATTTGAGGTTTAAATCTTTAAAATCCTTCTGCTTCTGTATCACTGAAGGGATTTTATCCAAATTTGGCCTAGAGCATCGTTGGGCAAAGGGGACTAAATGGAGGGTGTGGCCCCTCTGGGTGCAGAGTTACGTGGCCCAAAAGGGGAATTTGAGGTTTGAATCTTTAAAATCCTTCTTCTTCAGTACCATTGGAGGGATTGTTTGTAATAAAAATACTTTCCCGTGGTTGTTTCATTATTCAGGTGAGCGATACAGGCCCTCTGGGTCACTTGTTCCTTTTTAAACACGTGCAGACAATAAGTTAACTGTTAATAGGACGATAAACACTATAAACCAAACAATACCAATTAAAGTTCTTGTAACAAAAATACATTGGTAACTTCTAATATTTCGTCATTGTAATTGTCTCGACATGACGCATGTTTGTCAAATATATGTATTAGTTAGTTCTCTAGTAATGAAGAATGACGATTTTATTTCAATTGAAAGAGTCAACACATCAGTATTTTTTTCTTGTCGCGTCATGACACATACTTATTAGTTTTTTATCATAAGAAATTAAAAGACTTTCACGCATATTTTCCTTTGGTTTGTGCAAGCAAAATATTCAAATCTGCTGTTTTTAAGGCGCAATTAAGTAAAATGATCCAATTATTGCAATGACAGTTGCAACGACTTCGACTTGCAATTGTTAAGATCTTAACCCTTTTGCTGCCACAGTGAAATCCCTGATTTTCTGTCAGGCCAATATTTCAGCGTGGCGTTCAAATGTTTTATGACGTCGTTGTACTATGACGTCAACTATTTATGCATAAACCCAATTACGTTTTCTCAGGAAACGTCCTAGAAAAATACATTGAAATACTTCACATTCAAAAGATCATATACAACAATTTCGGTCACCTAGAACCACATGTTATACATCTATGGAAAGCTGAAATATAGTTTACATTGTTTGCGATTATTTCACCGAATGCTACAGTATGTAATACAGAATAGTGGTTAGTTTAAACAAATTTGATACCAGATAAGTTGTGCAAGGGATTAGGCACAATTTAACAAAAACGAGTTGTGTCGCGTGCCTTGTCCTCGCCATATGTCTACTGGTCGTATCCAACGTCATCTCTCCGAGGAATTAAAAGTTCAAATACAGCGCTTACAGCTCGGTTTAAGAAAAAAACACCTGAATGGTTTCTAATAGACTGACATTGTTGCAGAAAGTAGAGATCACAGCATAGTCAACTACGTGAAAAGCAGGAAACAGTCCTCGCAGTGTTTGTCCATTAATCTATGGACGGGTATTTCAAAGAACGGGGAAAGCATGCATCGTATATATATATATGAGCTTCAAGATCATGTTCTCAGCTTTCCATTGGTATACGATAGGCGCATCTGCGATACCGATGTAGTGTTTTGCAATGATTGAAATTTGAACACAAATCGCCTCACAGAACAAACAGTTTCCAGATCGTCTTATGAATTGATGACGTAATGGACAATACCGAGCGTGACGTCAAAGTTCGTTAAAAGCCGATTGGCCTAGAAATCAGATTGGCCAAAATCAGCCGTGTGGCAGTCTAAGGGTTAGTACAAATATTGTGTAGAAACTAGAATTATATCAGTCTGACATTAAAGCCGCTCACCACTTTAAATTTAATTGCTTCAGTAACACGTTGAACATCAATATCTTGAAAATAAGGTCATGTGATGATGTTGCCTTTGGGATTTCCAAAAGCAATCACCTCTTAAATGATGCCTTAAAACATTTCTCCCTTTCCTCTTTTTTCACCCTCTTTTGTGACGCATTGTTGTAATTTTTATTAATAAGCATCCTCCAATGATGTGACTTGAGCATTTACGTGCAGAATGGCAATCGGTGAATGGGTAGTAAAGAATAGGTGCATTTTGTGCTTGTGAAATGAAGGATAATTAACAGTAGTGGGAAAACATGCACGGAGAAAAGAGACATTGTACTCCTTTTATTTTTATATATTTTTTATTCATATTAATAATAATTATTAATATATGTAGTGACTTTGTTTACTGTTATTGAATATACAATTCATCACAAAAGCTCACCAATGTTCTTGGAATATATTTGAATTTTATTTCCCAATGCGACTTTACCAACGTAAGAGTAATTTCCCTTACACAGGATTGGATAATATTTTGACACAGCGCGAATTCTTGTCAAACAGCAGCGGCAGTTGTGTCATGTTCTTAAATTGTTATATTTTCACAAATAAATACACCAGAAATAGCATGCTGTGTAGCAGAAATGTTTGATACTCATACACAGTTCACATATCTTCTCGTCTCAGAGTCACATCCGTGGTAGCAACGATGGTTTATTACCGTTATCAACCTTAGCACGATATGTCGTATTCCTTCCCGTTTGAAACATCAAAATAGAGGTTATACTTCATCACTCATACGGTTTATAAGTATGTATATGTACTTCTTCATTGTAGTTACAAAATATAAAATGCTAGACCGTACAGACAGTGCCAATGCTTGACAGTCTTACCTGGGCTACATTCGCGTATCCCGGTTGAAACGGTATGTGTGGCGCAGAAATTTTCGACGGTAAACGAACGCACTTGGATTCTTTAAGCAGAGCTAAAAATGCACAGTTTCGGAGAAAAAAAACAGTGTTTCAAGAATATTATGACCTTCTTTCATCCGTCCACTGAATTACATAACGTATCTTAAAATTTACATGTGACTTAACATTGTTTTAGAAAGAAATAACGCAAACTGGCAATAGTCAGCAATTTAGTTTCGCCCAGGTACGTCTGGACCCCTCAATCAACAGGTGCCAAATTTACCTGAAGTCAGTCTCGGTCCAGATCTGTGCCTGTCGTTTTCTTTACAGGTTCAACCGTTTCTACCGGATGCGCGAATGCACCTATGTGCTCTCTCGAATCAGAGTCACGAAAATGTAAAACTGTAAGATAGCATATTATCAATACGGCTTTTTTTAGGATTAATCATATCTATATTTGCCGAATAATTTGTTATCATTTTATCTCTCAGTTGGGAAAAAATGCATTTTGTATGTGGCTTATACATAAATCAGAAAAAATATGCAAAGTCCTTGTGATTGTTAAATATAAAAGAAACAAATGGCAAGAGTTTCGTAGTACCCCCCTAGCGCTTTCACCTCTTTAAAGGTTCATCGGGGGAACTGTTTATTTGTCTTGACAGGACAACAACACAACACCGAAAGTGATGAAGTCATGATACATTAAGTCGTCACAATACAACCTACTGAAATTGGAACTTATCATTTGCACAAGAATGTATTTGCGTATTAACAGTTAAAAATCTAAGATGGTCACTTTTTGTCTGCTGTATGTGAAGTGCCATACGTTGACGCGTTATCTTAACATGAATAAACAGTTCCCCTGATGAACGTCTAAAGGGACCACGGAACCAAACCAAAAATAGATTGTTGGTTTTTCCCTTTTGGTCAGAAGATTTGATAGGAAGGTGAATGCCTCGGGGCCTGCTGGTTGGATGTTTAGGTGGCAGAAGTTTCAAAAGTTTTATGTGTAGGTTGAACAATATATATAAATGTGAAATGTATCAAACAAAATTAAAAAAAATCAAGTCTGTTTTTGTCTGGGGGAAGTTTATTAAGTGTGTAATTTGTTGTAAGTTTTGGTCAATTTTTGGTGCCGA